AAACTATGGTTTTCTTTAATAAGGATCAAGCATGACAGCCATGCCATGATGCTACACATTGCACTCAGGTGTATTAATTCCAGAGAAATGGGATCAGTAGGATCTAAAGATGGCCAAAGCTTTATTAAGCTGTATCTTCTTATATCCTTTGAGAAAGAAACAGAACATGGCTGGAGTGGGTGAAGGAGAGTCAGAGAGAGAGAGAGAGAGAGGCAGGAAAGCAGATTATTAGGAATTTTCAAGTTCTGGGATCCACCATCTGCAAACTAGAGATCTCATGTTGTAACTGAGTGTAAAGATCTGAGAGCCAGGGAGTTGAAGGTATAAGTTCCAGGCTGGGGTTCAGAGAGAAAAAAAATGGTGTCCAGGCAGTGAGGTGGCAACATGAATGAATTTCTTCTTTAACCATCCTTCCAAAAATGGGCTGATGCTCTCTCCTCTTAACTGAGGTCATTGATTCAAACACTCATCTCCCCTGAAACCATCCTCCTGATTGGCCCACTAATCTGGCCACTCAGTGGCCAGTGAAATCCATTTGGAACTATCCAATCCAGGGAAGGCATAGAACTGGAGTCCCTCCAAACAGCTTGGAGCAGCCAACAAGCAAGGGTGCTCACCAAGAAGAAACACAAGAACAAGAAGAATTTTGATTAAATGACGGAATCCTCCCTTAAGTCAGGTCAGTATGACAGGTACTAAGGGTCAGAGATGGGGAGTTGGACTTGAAAGAAATCGGCCATTAAGAGTGGTAGGATTCTCTCTAGCTCAGCAGATCTTTGCTAGAACATGGAGATGTGGGCCTCTAACAAGGGCCTTCAAGGTTGAGGACCGAGTTTAGATAAAACTTAGCCAAGAAAAGAGTCTTTGTGGAGTATTGGAAGTCTACGGATTCAAGCCTTGCCACACTCCTTGAGATTCATCATAATAAGACTAATTATTATAGTAGTAATATATTGCACAGGTGCCAGTTGTATAAAATGTGAAGGATGACGCTTGTAATCTTCCTCTCATCTTTTCCTTACACCAGTCCCCAACATTCCATCTGTAAACGAAGCAGAGAGAGCTGAGTCCTGATAAGGATGGAGGAGTGGGCACAGAAGCAGAAATGCACGAAACTATTTGCTGAAAGGATTTTGAGTATAATTTGGGGGCTTTGTGCGTAATAGGATCTAAGTCCCCTTTACCATCGTGACTAGCTTTCTTTGCTATCTTGTATACATAGGTGCTCCAGATCAATTCACTGTGGCCAAGATGAGCAAATAGCAACCCATTGATGTCAGAGAGTCTGCAGGCTAGAGTTATTTCCCAGGAGCACAGAGCTTAGAAGGACACTGCAAAGTCTGGACGGGACTCTAGAGAGTAGGAACATCATTTAAACAAAAATGAAAAGATTCTTCCATAAAGACTTTTCTGTTTATCTCTGTATTCCATTTCTAATTTGGATTATTTGGTTTGTTGGTGTTTAATTTCTTGAGTTATTTATATATTCTGGATATTAGCCCTTTGTCAGAAATAGGACTGGTGAAAATCTTTTCTCAATCTGTAGACTGTTGTTTCTTTCTACTGACAGTGTCCTTTGTCTTACAGAAGCTTTTCAGTTTCATGAGGTCCCATGTATTAATTGGAGATCTTAGAGCCTGAGCTGTTGGTGTTCTGTTCAGGAAGTTGTCTCCTGTGCCAAAGAGTTCAGGGTCTTACCTGCTTTCTCCTCTAGCAGATTTAGTGTATCTGGTTTTATGTTGAGGTCTTTGATCCACTTGGACTTGAGTTTTGTGCAGGGTGATAAATATGAATCTATTTGCATTTTTCATCCTGAGTGAGGCAACACAGACCCAGGAAGACACACATGGTATATACTCACTTATAAGCAGATTTTAGTCATATAGTACAGGATAGACAAACTACAATGCACAGACCCCAAGAAGATAAGTTTGGTGGACATCTTAGGCTTCATGTCAGCCCACTAGTCAGGGGGATTGGGAGTATCTCTCATACAGACTATGTTGCCTACTTTTGATCACGTCCCCCCTGATGGGTCTGCCCTACAAAGCCACAGGAGAGGAAGATGATTCAGTCCTCAATTGAATAGATGAGCTGGGTATTCCCTATTCTGAGGAATAGAAGAGAGGGAATGCAGGAGGGGGGGTGGATTAGGAGGAGTGGAATGAGGGGCCTATAACACAGATGTAAATTGAATTAATAAAAAAATGAAAAGAAAAGCTGTTGGTGGGTAAATATGACAGTCTGGGAAGTCCAGTGAATCTTCTTAAGGTGATATCATTTGGTGCTCTCATTCTTGAACTGCTTTCCCAGGACCTCTTGTGACCCAGGAATTCCCAGAAGGTACTTATCATTGTTTGGAGGTGAAGGGATGTGCTCTAGCCGTCAGACTTCCTCAGCAGTGTCACTGTCACTGGTCCAACAGGTTTTGTGCCCTCTCTACACAGCACTGAGCTCTCATCCTGTTTGCCTTGCAGTGGAGACTCTGCCCTTTCATAGACATTGCCTTGTTTAGTTTTGGGTTTAATTTAGTAAATCAAGACCGAAACATCGAAAAACAGGCTGTTGTCTAAAATGATTTGCATTCTACTTCTTAGTGGATAAGCGATTTTAAGCCCATCAGGCCTGCATTGATTGTTTTGACACATAGCCTATTCTCATCCAAAACAACAACAATAACAACAAACAAAACAAAGCAAGTTCAGCCTTGAGTTTTGCAGTCTCTATTCATCTGTGTGCCTATTGGACAGTTGCAACTATCAAGTACTGTGATTTCTGACCACCTGCCCAGCAAAAATTCCACTACAACTGACCGATCATGAAAATTTTAAGTCCCCTCATGATGTTTGTTCTATACTCATTTGACTACACCGATTAGTTTTTCCCGATTGCACGCAGGAGAATTTTTGTAATGCACAATGGGCGTCTAGGACATCTTTAAAGGCCATGACATTTAAAGTGCCACTTCATCATCATCAAGAAATACTAACCACGCCTCAGCAAAGTTGATGTTCTGATGCACAATTGGGCTCTTAAAAAGAATTTCTAAATAGTCATTACGTTTTGAGGGTCTTAGTGCTTTACTTCTGAGAATTCAATGTTTACAGGTTTTCCTTTTTCCTTGTGTTTTTAGCTGGAGGAACTTGAAGTCCATATGGGCTGAGGCTTCCTTGCTGGAACAGCTGCTCTGTGTTTGTGCTCACACGTACTCATTCCTGAAATCATGACTGACCCAAGTGTGCTCTGCAGCTCTTGAGTAGCAACTTTGCCTCTGGGCATCCTCCTTGTCACAAACAAGCTCTACCTTCTCGCCTTTCTCTGATTGGCCGCCGAGCCATCTTCTTCATCTCTTAGTCTGGTGTCTTGCATTTACAGCTCTAGGAATGCCTACTAGCGGAATAGTGTTGGATGTTTGATGGCTGTGCACAGCCGTCATTATCACACGCCAAAAGAGAACAGGTTGAATCGCTTATACACACTTACTTGTTATATTCTCATATATCATATACTTACACATCACACCCATACCTATATACATATTTGCATACAATAACAATGAAGAGAGGCCATGACTTTGAAAGAGAGCAAAGAAGAACATATGGGAGGGTTTAGAGAGAGGAAAGGGAGAGGAGAAATAGGATAATATTAAAATCTCAAAAATTAAAAAAAGGAAGAAAAACATCTAAACATGATTTTCTATAAAGTAATTGGTTAGTTTTTGACAGTTGCATTTGGTTGGAGTCTCCACATTTGATGTCTTCATTTTTTTCCCTTAATAATAGCATCGGTTTCCTTTTTTCAACTAATTTCATTGTTTCTGTTGTAAGGGATATTAAAGTGCTTTGTGGTCCAATACATTAACTTAAAATATTATTTTTATTTCTGTGTATTTCTGTGTGCCTTGCTTATCTAGATGTGTATCATGTCCATGCAGTTCCCATTGCTGCCAGAAGAGGGTGTCAGACGCCATGGAGCTGGAGTAAGAGGCGCCTGTGACTGAGGGTCCTCAGCAAGAGCATAGAGCGCTCTTGACTGCTGAGACGTCTCTCCAGCCCCAACATCGACCATTATATTCGCAGCTCAACACCATCTATGATGCTCACTCAGATCAGGCAGCCACGGCAATGCAAAGCGCCCTAACCTATAGAAATTAATTTTCTCATCGTTCTAGAGACTCAAAGTCCAAGACGGAAGTGCTGGGGCATGACCTTCTGTTGACGGCTCCTTCTGACTATGGCCTCTCTAGTGTCCTTCTTTCATGGGGCCGTCATCCTCTTGGACCAGGGTCCTCCTTGTATGGCCTCCTCTAACGCTAATTATTTTCAGGAGACTATCTCCACAAATCACCACCACGCTGTAGATTTGGGATCTGACATGAATTGTGAGGAATACAGTTCAGTTTATGGTGCAAAGCTATGATTTCAGTGGGGTTGGCTGAAATGGACAAAAAACATTTCTGTTTTATTAAAGACAGGCTTCTGTTTGAGCAAAAGGGTATTTCTCACACTTTCTAATTTTATGGCGTTAATTTATTAATGTTTAATCTATTTTATTTTCTTTTTAGTAATGCAAGTATTTAGAAGATAGTTTACAGTGAAAATGCACTTGAGAGTAAATGATCCTTTAAAAAATTATTTTTGCAAAGATTGCTTTTTCCAGTGTAGATTCTTTGCTTCATTAAAATGTTAATGAATTTATAAACAGCCCAGGACTATCTGCAAAACTCTACATAGTATAGAAAAGCTAATTATTGGTCATTAGAATAATAAATATTTTAGCAAACAGTTTACTAAGGTATATTTAAAAACAATTTTTACATATTGGAACTATATTGCTACATAGATGGATACATTTTTAAACTACGAAACCGTAAGGAACCAAGTAGCCATCAACAAAGAATGCTAGGAAGCTACTATGACAGGCCCCACAAAATATCTACAAGAAAAAAATTGTCTGCGGACTGTATTACTACCTCCGTGCCTATGTTTGCTCTGTTGCAGTGTTTGTCAGCAGAAGACATCTTTTCTCTTCATGGTTTCTCAAATGCTACGCAGATAACCAGCTCGAACTTCTCGGCCGTCTGCCCAGCGATCTTACAGCAGCTGAACTTCCATCCCTGCGAGGATCGCCCGAAGCACACTGCAAAGCCAAGTCTTTCCGAAGGTACCCGGAAGCTGCTTTCTCACCCCAGCGAAAAGTCTGAGGGGCAGCAGGAGATAAGGCTCATGTGCACCCTTTTCTCGTTTATTGCTTTTAATTAAGTTGTGAGAAACCTCCTGGTAAAATAAGATCCAGCAACTATTTAGATAAGAATAATGGGAACTCATACAAGCTTTGTAAGTAATGCTCTTCTGCTTGTGGGATCAAGACTGCCCTTAGAAAGCTTTAAAACTCCCATATCCAACTTTTATTTTCACTTATTTATTTAGTTTTTATTGTATATATTCATCAAACATTGTGCTCTGTTACATTTGGACTTCTTCATGCAAAAACGTATTATGTGTTTAATGTGCTTAACCCCCCAAACCTCTCCCTTTCCCCTTTCTCTTGTTCCCTCTACCAATTGTCCCCTTTCTACCCTCAAGAGAAATGGTTCTCAGCCTTCCTAAAGATGCGACACTTTAATACAGTTCCTTATGTTGTGGTGACCCCCAACTATAGAATTATCTCACTGCTGCTTCATAATTGTAATTTTGCAACTGTTATCAATCATGATGTAGATATCTGATATACAGGATATATGATATGTGACCAAGAAGGGGAGTTGCGACCCACAGGTTCAGAACCACCACCCTAGAGTTCTGGTTCTGCGTTCATGTCACAAACACCATTTTCTGTGTCTATCTGCGACCGCTTCTTGATTTTAAACCATATATGCTGTACACATAGGTTGCAGAGTTAACTCTCTGGCTTAACTTCTTGGTCAGTTTCCATCACCTTTTGCCTCTCCTGCTATTTTAAAACTTGTCAATTAGTCTGCAGTGAGGACGGAAGGCATGAGAAAACTAGGGCACTTCCAGATGACCTCGTATGTAAAGTGTGGAGTTACTAACCCTTTAAAATTTGCAGACCAAAGGAGATGCCAGGATTACAAATGTTTGCAAGAGTATGCTTACATTTCTGTAAGTCTTTTACATTTTGATGCTTTTTACTTTAGATTTGAAAAGTGCTGCAACAAAGCATTTTTAATAAACTGAAATTTACTAGTAATATGGACTAATAAAGCCACAGACTTCAAAACCCAACTCCCTAAGTTTCCAGCCATTTTGGGGGCATGCTTTGACCTCTTTCTACTTCCGTTTCCTCGTCCAATCTATTTTGTTTCTCACAGTGCTGTTTTAAGGATTAAATAACAACACTCATAAAGTACCTAGAACAATAGTGGCTTCAATATAGCGTAAGGCCCATGGTTTCAGGAAGTGACACCAGCAAAGGAAAGTTACTGACATTCAAAAGTATTTCTAAATCTGGCTATGGTGGCTCAGCCTGTAATCCTAGCACTTCAGAGCCTGAGAGAGGAGGATCACCATGAGTTCAAGACCAGTCTGGGATACAGAGGAAAATTCTATGCCAGAGAGTGAGACAGAGAGAGAGAGAGAGAGAGAGAGAGAGAGAGAGAGAGAGAGAGAGGTGTTTTCTAACTCTAGCTGTTCCTGTTACTCTATGTCAAGTAGAGCCAGGAGATGAGAACAGGAAAGGAGGAAGCAGGAAGTGAGAGAGAATTCTAGGGTCAACAATACAAAGTCATAAAGTAGAAAAGTCAACAGTTCTCAGTTACAAGATCAGAAAGGCACCAAATATTTGGACAGAGAACCCAATAAAGAGAATAGAGTGCTCCTCTCTGCTAATCTGTTTAGTTTGGCAGCACATTGTCATTTGATGTGATACTTAATAGTGTCATTTTAGTGCAGTTGTGTGGTCTTGAGCAATTGTTCAGCATCTTTCTGCCCGAGTCACTTCAACTGTAAGGTGGGTATGACCGTAGCTCCTTTATTGTAGAAGTGTGGGTGGCACCAAAATGAACCCGTGACTGGTACAGTTCAGAGGATTGTGCCTTTGATCTTTTTGTGTGTGCACATGTCTACATATGTGTCTGGGTGTATGCGTGGAGAATATACACATGTGTGGGTCGGAGTGCCCTTATGTGTGCATTTGGAGGTTAGAAGACCATGTCCTGAACTATTACTCTCCACTTTATTCTCTTGAGACAGGGGCTCCCACTGAACCTGGAGTTAGTTAGGCTGATGGCTATCAAGCCCTAGAAAATCTCCTGTCCCTGTTTCTGGAAACACTGGTGTGACAGGCATGTGTGGACACACAAAAGCTTTTAATATGGGTGCTAGACTTGAACTCAGGTCTTCATGGCTGTGCAGCAGTGTTCATATCTACAGATCGTCCACCAGCTTCTTATACAAGTGTCCATAGGTTCACTGTACTCCTTGGCCCTTAGGTAATGCTACTTTCCCAGAGGACATTAAAAATAACCAAATATATTAGATTCCACGTATAACTTTTCACTGCTTGTGAGCTCAATCTAAGGTCATCCAAAGAGACTAAAAAACCCAATTTAAAGGCGTCACGACACAAAAAGTTCTGACTGTGTTTATAGTAACATTTTAGTGGGAAGATAAAAAGTCTCAGAGATCTTACATTTTTATCATGTTTTGAAGTTGCCTTTCATTCGCCTTATAAAACCACACTGATATAACCAGTGCTTTTAATTGGGATCTATCTCTACAGCTCCCTTTTATTTTTCCTCCACGTTTATATTTAAAAGTTAATTATTTTAAAATTTCTCTCTGAGTGTCTTTATGTGTGAGCCCGTTTGGAGGCGAGCCCTGTGCATGCAGTAGCCACAGAAGCCGTAAGAGGAAGGTAGATTCTCCTGTGTGGGTGCTGGCAATTGAACTCTGGTCCTCTCCCAGTGCAGCAAATGTTTTTAACCTCTGAGCTACCTCTCCAGCTCCCAAAGTCAGAGCTTATCTTATTTGATTTGAGCTTTTGGGAACTCTGTGTGTTCTGGCTTCCACAACCATGTGAGGCAGGTAGTAGTATGGACCTTGCAAGGCTTTGTTGGTCCAGCGGGGTAGGAGACACTGATAGCTTAGCACAGCGCCCGCAGCCTGGCAGACACTTGCTGTGCACCGGTACCACTCTGCGCACTGTGCTGACAGGGCCAGAGAGAAAAGCGGCCCAACATTCATCTCACTAGCGGGGGCAGTTTCTCATCTCCCAAACAGTGCTCCGTGCCACATGTGACTTGGTTACAGTGGTTATGGTACCCCTCAGACCATATTGCTGCACTGAATTGTCCTGTGCGTGTTTCACTCCCATTCCCATTCAGTTCTTAAACCAAGCCTCTACAGTCAAGATGGTGGGCGGCAATATGGTTCACATAGAGTAGGACAGCATTTGCTCATTGCTCCCCAACCAACATTTATTGGGTATCCATTGTGCATATGAGTGAAAGATGAATCACCTCTATCTGTTGCCAGCATCACCTAGTCTTCATCTGGGCCTGGCAAGGAGAGTTGTGCAATGAGGCCATTCCCTTCATTGCCATGTGCTCATTATCTGTGTTCTCACAGCGCTGGCTGACCCCAGATTCTGGGAGGCCCCAGATGTGGGCAGTTAAGGAGTCTTTTGTTTGTAAAATTAGAAGAGTTTCTTTTAAAGGTGATCTCAGGGGTCCAGAGATTATGAGAAACCCAGTGTTGGCGTGATCTTTCCTTTGAAGCCACACCATCTCAACTCCCATTGATCCCTGTCCCCTGCCTACAGTTTATGCCTTTCCCTTGAATCTCATACTGCTTCTGTCTTTCTATAAAAGGCCACATTTTAAAGTCAGCCTTGAGCCACAGAGGAAGCGAGGAAGGTGGAAGCCGCGCAGAGCAGGTTATTTGTCCTTCTTCAGATAGTCTCCAATTCCCTGAACCATGTACACCCTTTGATCTTAAGATGATCCCACAGGATGGCTTAAGTCACTTGCCTATCTCATTTCCTTTAGAGACATAACTTCATATATCCCTGGCTAGCCTTGAACTTGCAATGTAGATGAAGATGACCTTGAATTAGCACCTCCCAAGTGCTGAGATTACAGGCATGTGTCACCATGCTTAGTTTATGAAATGCTGGGGACTGGGCATAAGAGCCTTCTGCATGGTAAGCAAGTTGGATCCCAGACTCTAGAAACATGACTTCTATAAATGTTTGGTCAACTGAAGGTGTGTTCTTGGAATTTTCTGCAAAGCTCTCAATGAGACATTTTAGTTTTGAAGAAGATATTTGTTGAAGCCTTTAAAGAAGTAATGTTTCAAAGTTAATGTGCAGTAACGCAGTTAGTGTGCATTTGACCAATTGGTTGTAACTAATTTTTACTCTTTTCCCCTTTTACCCACAGTTTGGGGCTATGGACTCCTGTCGGTGACAATTATTAATTTGGCATCTCTCCTGGGATTGATTTTGACCCCGTTGATAAAGAAGTCTTATTTCCCCAAGATTTTGACTTATTTTGTAGGGCTGGCTATTGGGACTCTTTTCTCAAATGCCATTTTCCAGCTTATTCCAGAGGTAAGGGGGTGGGCTGGGCACTTCTGTGTGTAATTGCTTCCTTTAAACATGTTAGCATTTTCTGCATTTTAACCTTCACAATTCTCACAGCGTTCTCTGGTGGGTTTATAAGGCTCTGAATATGAGAAAGCAGAGCCACAGCAAGTGTCAAAAATTGCCTCAAGCTTCAAAGAACGCTGAAGTCAAAGACAAAGGTTACTGTTCCAGGACAGCAGCCACCAGGACATGCTTAGACAGCGCCCTAAGACACATTTGAAAACACAGCATGCCATTCTGCCTTTCATCGGCACATTTAATTTTCTGCAGCTTTATTGTTTATTATTTTCCGTAGAATATCCAGAGACTAAAGTTACTGACGACAGACCACAAAGTTTCCTTATATTTACTACAAGATGAGAGATTAATTGTGTGTCTGATTGACAGGTTCCCCTCCCCCTCCCCGGCTTTCAATTGGCTAAGAGGAGAAAATCAGTCATGGGTTGGCAAATAAAGAGTAACTTACTTTTTTCTTTTGATGAACGTATATTACTTGACTGCCGTCGTTATCACTTAGTATTCACTGGATCAGTACGTAATGTGCACATTTTATTTCATGTCTCTGTTATGGCCACATAAGAATGAGAAATAGTGAATGGAAAATAAGAGAGGGAAAAAAAGAGAATGAGCCATAAAGGCCAATGAGAGAAATTCATATGCATACATATCTATGGGCCATTTTTCCCATATATTCTGCACATGGAAGGAGGAAGAAACGAACCCCACTTAAAAAAATAGTATGCAGGTTGTGCCCCTCTTTTAGGTTTTACAAAATAACAAAAGCTTCTTCTAGTTTTTTAATCTGTATGTAAAAATGAGGGATAAGTTCTTTAGAGTTATAGTTCTTATTAGTATTTTTCTAAAAAGAATCTGAGAGAAATACCGAAAACCCTCAAATATAAAGAAGAAAGCTGAAAAATCTAAGGAGATTAAATGACTCTAAGACAGCCGTACAATTGGCTAGTTGCCAATGAGAACTGCAATGCACACTTTTCCATTAAAAATATTCAGTGCAATGCAGTGTGCTAAGTATGTGCGTTTAGCATCTTGTGTGTTTTGTGGGTCGCTTAAAGCAAAGATTGCTGTGGCTGTTCTGGTGAGGAACTTGTAAGATCTAGTGGTTTCCCTTCACTGGATGACTGCTAGTAGGAAGGTTTTAATGCAATGTGTGTGGTCTTGCTACTCGAGTTTCAGCGTCTTTATTCTGAGGGTGGGCTTACAACTTTGGGGAAAATTGCATACTAAGAAATTATGGTATTGTTTTCCAGAAGTCAATTAACTTGGTTTTATGTGAATTGTCCTGTCTCTGCTCCTTAGGCATTTGGATTTGATCCCAAAATCGACAATTATGTTGAGAAAGCAGTCGCTGTGTTTGGCGGATTTTACATGCTTTTCTTTGTTGAAAGGACACTTAAGATGCTGCTGAAAACATATGGCCAGGTAAATGGACCTGACTGAAGGCATTTGATGTCTTGCTTTCCCAGGCTCCCTAACAAAGGCAAGAATTGTGAATTACGTGAGAAGTCTGACTGTCACACTAGCAAATATGAAGAAAATAAAAGTCAGTATATTGACAAGTGTGAGAAAAATACCTGACTCATATAGAATTTGGAACTATTAACCCCAGATCAATGCAAAATAATAGATGTGGATAATTTGTATCTCCTTTATAGTCATCAAATAAGAGCATATATATATATATATATATATATGATATATATATATATATATCATATATATATATCTTATAACATAGAAAATGCAGAAACCATGGAATCTAGTCCACAAGAATGTGTTTAAGGAAGAATGTTAGTACTTACATTATAGATAGTTTTGTAACTATAACCCCCAAAATGTTTTCTCTTATAAATGAAAGCAATGGACCATTTTCTTATCACCATGAGTCATCTTCTTTCTTCTTTTAACCTACTTGCTTTCTCCATGCGTAGAATGACCACACCCACTTTGGGAATGATGACTTTGGTTCTAGAGAAAAAACCCATCAACCCAAAACGTTACCATTACCTACAGTCAACGGTGTGACATGCTATGCCAACCCTGCGGTCACCGAGCCTAACGGACACATTCATTTTGACACTGTCAGCGTGGTGTCCCTCCAGGTATGTTATGCTGACTATGTTTTACTTTCATTCTTCTGTGCACTTTTCACTATAGAGGCAGCAGGGAATGCAGTCAAGCCATTGTTTCAGACAGTCATACATGTTAGACATGCCTACCCTCGTGGGATAAGTTGCACTCTTTCTGCTCTTCTTCTGGGTGCTTAAGAACATGAGTTGAAGGAACTCTGGATTCTTGGTCTTGAGATTCATTGTTCTCTCAGGTTGTTTCACTGTACAAGAGCTTCTCAGTTAGATTTGCATAATACCTCCAGTAAAATTAGTTCAGGACATTTTTACTACTTCAGTTCTTTCAAGATTCCAAAGCAAAGAATCCTCTGAGCAATTTTGAAATTGCAAGATGTGAAGGTTTTGAAAGTCGTGTTCATTGATTAGCTGACTTAAATTTATGTTTGCAGTGTCTGAAGAATATTAATGGGTACCATTTTTAAAGCAAGTATTTCACACTAGGTAATATGCTAGGCAAATAGTGATTTTATCTTATCTATTTTTTTTATAATGACTACTGAAAGTAGAGGTTACTCTCCATGTATTATGACCATTTTTATTTCAAGTGATAGAAATCAAATTATCTGTGGTCAAAGGTAAATTATTGAAAAGAAAACTGGTATCTTATATGGGAGAGCCAAGCTGCTTGGACAAGAAATCTGGAGACATCAGAACCATCAGTGACCCTTCTCTTCTTCCACAAGCATCTCAGCATCATCTTCTTCCTTTCACCTGGACCATCTCCTTCCGCAAGTGGGAAACAAAGCCAGTGATAGCTTCTGAGACTTATATTTTATAACTTCAGCATTTATGATAAGACTGACCTCTTTTTCTTTTCTGGCACAAAGAGGCTTATTAGATACAGAGAGAGGAGGGTGGGAGGGAGAGGGACAGGACCGGGAAAGTATAGGAGAAGAGAAATGGGAGTATGGTGAAGTGCCCAGGAAAGAAAGTCAGAGAGAGCCCCAGCCTCTTATTTTTTTTTTTAATTTATTTTTATTTATGTGCACTGGTGTTTTGTCTGTGTGAAAGTGTCAGGTCCCTGAAACTGGAGTTACAGACAGTTGTGAGTGTGGGTGCTGGGAATTGAACCCAGGTCCTCTGGAAGAACAGCCAGTGTTCTTAGCTGCTCAACCATCTCTCTAGCCACCTCTGACCTCTTATCGTTAGTTCCTAAATTCCTTGTAAGTGTAGCCCCTTGACCCATGTTCTTTTAGGCAGCCACTTTAGACTAGATTAAGTGTTCAGATGGTCATGTTCCTTGTGGGGCTCTGAAGGAACACCCGTGCTAAACTAACAGGAGTTATTTAGTATAGTGAAACACATGGATACTTTTAACTAAGACTTTTTAAAAAAGAGTATGGAAATCTCCAAGTAGATAATTTTACATCGTGCTCAGAATTGACACTTTATTGAATGCTCTGGGTCTGTTCCTGTAACAGTAGACTAATTATCTTACCATCCCCATAAACTAGAGGACAAATATTGTTTTAATTAGGATGTGAGGACTTAGAGATGCTAACCAGCCCAATATAGAGTACAGACGGAGCAGACTGGTGATTAGAAAAGGGTGCTGGGAGGACAGTGGCAATGGGGTGGACTCTAATTATCGGCTGGCAGATGGAGAGATAAATCTTCAGCATGACTCATCCAGTAGATGCGGATCCACAAGCTACGAAGTCAAGCATATTGGAAAAGTGAGCAATCGAGATGAGAGGGAAAAACAACCAAGAAAAATAAAAGGCAGAAAGGAAATATTTGAAAGAGGTTGTTAGGAAAAAACAAAACAAAACAACCACAATGAAACAACAAAGACATCTGAGTTTCCTTCTGGAAACATGCTTGTTTGGAAACATGTGTGGTACTCTTCTCCCACCAGATGAAGGGAAATTCTCAAGTGTGTTTGAATAGCTTTGTGTTAATATTAAATTAATTGGAAATTATCTCAGGTAGTGAAACGAATGGTGATTTTAATTAAGATCTACCAAAGAAGATTCTAATATATAAATAGATGATTTCTTGTGGTTGTTAAAAGAACATTTTTATGTGCTCTGGGTCTTTGAACAGTAGATGGCTTACCTTATTTGATCCTCATAAAGTGGGGTAAGTACAGTTATCGTTAAATCCTAGGACTTAGAAATGTTGGCTTGATGCTGTATTCTTACATATTTTACTGGTCTTCCTTTTTCTCAATGCTAGAAACAAGATGACAACATTAACGCTACATTCAATACTAGTTATTTTATTGGGAGGGATGAAATGAATTAGCTTAAGAATAATTTTTTTTCCTGAGGATTTGATCATGTAGGGCACAACTGAAGGAACATAGAGAATGACAGTAAAAACACTCCTGCAGTGTGAATAAATTCTAGCTTTTTATACAGGCTTTGGCAAATAATGGATCCTTATGAAATCATGGCTGAACTCTGATGATGATTCCAGAAGAACCAGTCAACTAAGCTGCCAACTTAAACACTGATTACTAAATCTTTTAACTCAGACATGGAGACACAGGTTTATAATGTTAACTCTTAAGAGGCTTAGGTAGAAAACTTGCAAGGTCAAGGTCAGTCTAGGCTCTACTAGGTTCAAGGTCAGTTTGTCTAACTTAGTGAAATCCTGTTTCAAAACAAACAGTGAAGAAAAAGGACAGGGGATTTAATTAGTGATGTAGCTCTTGCTTAGTCTTAGCAAGGCTAAGTTTAATTCTCAGCACTACAAAAGCCAACAGACAAACAAAAACCCCATCAGGTATCTGCTGGCAAAGGGGATACTCTGCCATAGAATTTGAAGCCTGGTTTGGATTCTTATTCTGAGGACAATTATCCTGTGTCCCCTAGAATGAACAAGACCAGGTCAGGCAGCGCTGCCTTCCATGAGGAATGAATGCAACCCTGGTCCAGACCTGAGCCATTTTCCATTGGGATATTCAGGTTCTGTTACATGAAGCATAAACAATAAAGAGTTTTGGATTTAAAACTAAAGGAGCCAGGTGGTGGTGGTGCATGCTTTCTAAGCCCTGCACCTGGGAGGCAGAGGCAGGTAGATCTTTGTGAGTTCGAGGCCATCCTGGTCTACAGAGTGAGTTCCAACACAGCCAGGGCTACACAGAGAAACCGTGTCTCAAAACAAACAAACAAATTAAAGGGCTAGTGACCACGTTAACAGAGGACAGGTTGTGGGAGTTGGTTCTCTCCTCTTACCATGTAGGTTCAGGGAAGTGAACTCAGGTCAGCAGGCTACTATTGAAATTATGAATTAAAAAAAAGTCGTTTAACTTGATATAATATCAATAGGACACAAATTATACAGTACTTTAGCTTTTAAAAGCATCATTCTTGATTCTTTTTGAAATGTAAGAATGAAAGAAATATTATAGAGTAACTAAAATGTATGGCAAAAAAAAATGTGGCATTTAAAAAATTTATCCAAATAGCTTATTACAGAATAATCAGATACACAGACCATTTAAATTTAGATGCGGAGGGGCCATGTTAACCTTGCGATGTGGAAACTTTTCCTCTAGGACACACAGCTTGGGAGGAACTTCTGTTAGCAGACCGAGATCCTCAGGAATCTTAGGGTCTCTCTGGCATGTGTTAGCCCTGCTAGGCCACTAGAGGGACCATCTAGCTCATTCCTCCTGCAGTCTGCAGCCGGTCTCCTACTGATTTTATAATGAGGAAAAGCTACTCTGCCATTTACAGAAGTTGATTACTGTGCATACTGTGTTTAAAAATGAGGTTCGATGAAGTGGAATTTATCTGCAAAGTAGGCGATGTTAGGGAGCAGACTTCACCAACAGCTGATATAAAGCGATACTCCAGTAATAAGTGTTTTTGAGAAACTTGGATCTCTGTGAGAGGCTGACAGATTTAAACCATTAAGTCACCCAGGAAATATTTTCCAGCATCTGATGTGTTCTTGGTGCTCTTCTAAGTACTGGTAATGTGTCAAAGGGATGGAGGGACACACTTTCTGCCCTGCCGTATTACAATGCATTACAAAAGCATTACAATGTTACAGAGAACTTAAATCTCAAAGTCTCTTTATCTGTCTATCTATCATCTATCTATCTATTATCTAATCTATCTATCTAGCTATCAATTATCTATTATCTTATCTATCTATCTGTTATCTAATCTATCTTTCTATCATCTATTTATTATCTAATCTGTCTATTACCTTACCTTATCTATCTTCTATCTATTATCTAATCTATCTATCTATCTATCTATCTATCTATCTATCTATCTAAACTATCTATCTATCACTATTTATTATCTACCTATTATCTTATCTATCTATCTATCTATTATCTAATTTATCTATCTATTTATCTATCTTCTATCTATCTAAACTATCTATCATCTATTTATTATCTACCTATTATCATATATATCTTTCTATTATCTTATCCTATCTATCTATCTATCTATCTATCTATCTATCTATCTATCTATCTATCTATCTATCTATCATCTGTCTCTCTGATTGATTTGGACCAGGAAGCTCTCTATGAGAATATGTGGGGTTTGTTCTTAGTTTTTTGGACTGGAGAGAATTGGTAGGGAGTGGATCATTTTTTTTTCCTTTTGGCCTGAAGGATGAGAAAGATGGTGTGTATTATTAGATGTGTGTTTGGAGAAGGATTCTGGGACACTGAAAGTATGATTACGTATCTGTCTTCACCATGGTGCTCAATTTCAGCCTTGTTTGCTTTGCCCATGAATGAGGCTCTTGGGTTTAAGTTTCCCAAAGGAAAATCTGCGGTCATCTTTGATGAGGGCCACCTGGATGCTCTGGCTTAGAAGAAAAGGATCTGGGGTTCTTAATGTGCCCCAAATGGACATGCTGTCAACCCTGTCAGTTTTAGTTCCACTCTACCTCCTGTAGTCCTCCACATTCCAAACATTTATTATTTTAAAGAGGGAAACACAGGTGTTTGCCGCTGTGTCTCTCCAGGTGGTCTGGAAATCCATGATCTTCCTGTT